TTAAAGGTCCAGGGCCAGGGGCTGGTGAGATGGCTCAGTAGCAGGTTAAAGGCCTACCAGCAAGTCTGATGACCTGAGTTTGACCCTGGGACCCATACAGTGGGAGGAGAGAATGGCTCCCAACCAACTGTCCTCTGACCTCCACACGCATGCTGTGGCCTGCACATACCCCCATAAATAAATAAATGTACTAATCCATGTTTTAAAAAAGATCCAGCACTACAGATTCCTGTGGTAGGAGTTTGAGACAGAGAAATGAGCCAGGGCCCCATGGAAAAAAGCCTCTGGGGTTATGACACACATCAGTCAAAAGAAGTCAAAGGCCTCACCGGGGACAAAGAAGGGATCTTTATTGTCTCTTAACAGAGTCCTGCCCTATCCCATGCAGCGGTACCCGCCTCTGCTGTCACTGGGTCCTCCGAGTTCTCCTTTCCTCTCCTCTCAACCCAGTGACACTGTCCCTGCCTGACTGTCCTGGTGACCACAACTCCCAGACCTGGTACTTTTGGAGAGTGACTATCACCTCAGATCTCTGTGAAGAACTGAGGGAAGTCAGAAACCATGGCTAGAACAGGAGGACAGGCCAAGAATCAGACGGCCTCTACAACATGCAGATGCTCAGCTCCCCCGGCCAGCTGAGACCAGACTGAAGCAGGCAAGGACTCCCAAAGAGATCGAGAGAAACCACTAAATGGCTTCGGAGATGGTTATCTAGGGTAGGAAAGACATAAGGAACCTAGAGACACAGTGAAGGCTATTTCCAGCCCTTCTCCTGGAGTCAGGTCTACCTTCTGCTACAAGGAGAGCTGGGCAGCACCTGTGCTGACAGCGGAACACTGCGAGCCAGCCTCTGCTCCGCTAGACTTACTACGCGTACACCCTCTGTGTAGAGGGAGTATGGGCGCCATGTCTTGCTACACAACTCCACTGGGAGTCCTTGTGAACTCTGTCCTCTGTTGCACTATGCCTCCTTGAAAATGTAACCCAAGCTAGACCCATCATGCTCCAGAAAAATCTTAAGAATTCCCATCTCTGAGTTTCCTTGCTTAGCTGTGGCCTGTGTCTCTCTGGTGCCTTCATTAAAAAACCTCCCCTGGGGGCTGGGGCTATTCCTCAGGGTGGAACACTGGCCTAGCCAGTGGGACACTGAGGTCTGATCCCCAAAACCACAAAAACAAAACAACACCTGTCCTTCGCGTCAGTCTTTTGGAAGAACTTACAAGGCATCTTCTACTCCAAAGTAGAAAGCCTTTGTGATAGACAAATCCTGGGTGACTGGCTTTAACATGGCCAAGTACACAGAAGCCGGCTGTTCAAGTCAGGAGAGCAATATTAATGCCTCCTGATGGGCAATACAGATGCACCTAGAAAGGTGCCAGACAGATGCAAAATGAAGACAAGAAGTCAGGCTGCCAGGAGAACACAGGCTCTGCACTCCAGGAAAAGCCTTTGATAGCCCTGCCCTACAGGGTGGACAGGATAAACCTGAAGGGTTTCTCACACCTACTTCCCAGGCTAGTGAGGCAGGTTTGACTCACCACAGACAATGCTCAAGGATCTGCCAGGTCTCCAAGCCTTTCACTATTGGGGGCGGGGGGGGGGGATGCTGGGCCTCATTCTGCTTAAAAGGACAGCCCAGTGTACAAAAAGATGATACAGGGAAAATTGGAGAGGACATGAATCAGGTGTGAGTTTCCACCTTTCTACCCAGGTTCCACAAGTAGGAGATGCTTGTTAAACTGAAAGAGAGCTAGCATGCACAAGCAAAAGGCCAGATGTCAAGGCTGCAAGGTAAGGAGAAGGGAGACCCAGCTGACCTTCAAAACTGAATGGGAGGCAGGAGAGGAGTGAAGTTTCAACTTCCCTCAGGCTGGATCTTACAGGTGACAGTGTCACCCGAGAATCTTTCCTTTGCTACTGGGAGTCACAAGGGATCCCAGCAGGGGAGACATCTATGCTTCATTGGAATTAAGAATATTATCTGAAGAAGCTATTTTTACCACCAGCTCTCTCTGGATTTAATTTCAAAAGAATTTAAAGCAAGTTCTAAAATATACTTGTATACCTGCTTTCACTGTGGCATAGCCACAACAGCCAAAAGGAAGAAGTAACTCATGTGTTCATCAACATGTGATTGGATCAACAATATGTGTGACATTCACACAGCAGAATATTATTCAGCTTTTAAAAATGAAGAAGGCTAGAGTGAGGGCACAGCAGGTAAGAGCACTGGCTGCTCTTCTAGAGGACCCGGGTTCAGTTCCAACACCCACATGACAGCTAACAACCATCCATAACTCCAGTTCCAGGGGATCTGATGCCCTCTTCTGACTTCTGTAGGCATTACACAACACAGGTGCACTTACATACATGCAGGCAAAACACCCATGCACATAAAATAAAAATAATAAAATATAAAAAAAGAAGGGATTTCTCACACATGCTACATCGTGAATGAACACTGACCTCACTCAGCTAAGGGAATTGAACCAGACACAAAAGGACAAATACCGTCAAATTTCACTATCTAGAGTGGTCACATCCAAAGACACAAAAGCAGAATGATGGTAGCTAGGGAGGGGGAGACTATTATTTAAGGGGTACATTTAAGTTTGGGAGGATGAAAAAGATCTAGAGACAGATGGAGGTGACGATCAAAGAAAAATTAAATGTACTTAATGCCATTAAGTTACATACTATTAATCATACAGTATTCATAAAAAGGGAGAAAATGGAAAAAAATTTATGCTATGTGTATTTTGCTGCAATATAAGAAAAAAAAAAAATCACTCCTTCCAGCTTGATGAAGCTCAGGAACAGGAGGTCTAAGACACAGACTCTTCACTGCTTCCAGGTGGCCTCAAGCTTCTGGCACATTCTTCACCCCTCAAACTGCTACTTGATGCCCAGGCTTGTTATGAAGAACAGGTAAGAATGCCTGAGAAAGTGCTCTGCCCCAAAGCACCACCCACAGACACCAGGTACCAAATTGATGCCATGGCCGAGAGAGGGACCAGAGAACATTCAGGAATCTGCTCACCTCCTGAACAAGAGGCTGCTGGAACAGGGGAATGAGAGGGTTCGTCCTTGGAATGTCGATGTGAATCTGAAAAACAGCCACAACCAAAAACATAAATGTCAGAGGGTTTGTGTAAGTCACCAGATGCAAAACAGTGAGAGGCAGTCTAACTTTAAAAGAACTGACTCGCACAGAGAAAAGTCCAGCCACGCCACCAAGGCAGAGTACATCTCCATGACTGCCACAGCTCGCATCTGAGGAAACCCCCAAACAAGCCACTCACAGCACACAGCAGCAGCTTCTTGCCCGCAGCATCCCGCTATTTTCCCCATTTCTCTGTCAGATTCATTCTGGGCTGGTGCCTGTTTACCAGGTTTGATCAAGTGTACCCTCTTTCAGATCTTGCCCATAATTCCTAGGAGCCAGGTGTGGTGGTGCATACCTGTATTCCTAGCACTCAGGAAGCTAAGGCTGAGGATCAAGGCTACCCTGGGCTTATAGTTAAATTTGAGGTCAGCCTGGGAAACATAGTGAAATCCTGTCTTGAAAAACACTAGGGAGGCAGAGGCAGGAGGATTTCTGTGAGATTGAGATCAACCTAGTCTACACCATGAGTCCCAGGCCTGCTGGAGCTACAAGGAGACCCTGTCTCAAAAAGACCAAAAAAAGGGCTGGAGAGATGGCTCAGCAGTTAAGAACACTGACTGTTCTTGCAGAAGACCTGGGTTCAAATTCCAGCACCCACATGGCAGCTAACAACTGTCCATAACTCAAGTTCCAGGGAATCCAACAGTCTCTTCTGTCCTCCTCGGGCATTGCATGACACGGGTGCACTAACCTACATGCAGGCAATACACGCATACACATAAAATAAAAATAATAAATAAAATATTAAAAAAAAAAAGGACCAAAAAAAAAAACCCCAAAAATCAAAAACTAAAAGAAGCTGAGTGTGGTGGCACATGCCAGTAATCCTAGTACTTGGGAGACAGAGGCAGAAGGATCACCACAAGTTTGAGGCCAGCCTGGGCTACATAATGAGACCCTGTCTAAAACCAAAACATAGCCAGGCGTGGTGGCGCACGCCTTTAATCCTAGCACTCAGGAGGCAGAGGCAGGCGGATCTCTGTGAGTTCGAGGCCATCCTGGTCTACATAGTGAGTTCCAGAGCTACAGGGAGACTCTGTCTCAAAAAGACCAAAATAAATAAATAAATAAATAAACAAAAATAAATTGAAAAAACAAAACAAAACATAATGAAACAAAACAAAAAACACCCACAACAAAGCAAAAAGGAGCTCCAAGGACACTGACAAAAATGTGTGGGGACAGGGAGCAAGGAGAGGACTTGCTGACCAAGTCATGACACATGTACGATGCAAGGAGGGGTCAGGATGGCCAGCCTCAGTAACCAGAGCCGAAAGATCTCACAGCTGCCTCCAATGAGGTCACTGCAGTTGGTTTCAACTCAGGGCCTTCCCAATACCCAGTCTAACCTCCTAAAAAGTGTCCACAGCAAACAGGCCACTTCAGTTCTGGGAGACAGTCACAGCAGTTGTTGACACCTTTTGCCATCCCTGACTGATCACGTCTGAGCTTTCTGCTTTTCCTCCATGTTCTGTAGCCCTTACTCCTCACAGAATGTCCTGTGGTCCAGCAGCACCTGTATTGCTAGGGACCTTACAGAAGTGCAGGCCCTCACCCGAGTCCCACATTTGCTTACAATCCGAGGCGCTCTGTGTGTGTGTGTGTGTGGGTGTGTGCGTGTTGATTTATACACACATCAAAGCTGAGACGCTTTGTCATTGACCAGGCTAAAAAACCTACTTATTTAAACCAGATATGGTGGCACACACCTGCAACCCCAGCAATCGGAAGACAGGGGCAGAGGGATCACTGCAAGTTCAAGGCCAGCTTGGGCTACAAGAGTTTCAATCCTGAGTTACAGAATGAGACTCTCTCAAAAACAAAACAATACAGGGCTAGAGACATGGCTCAGAGGTTAAGGGCACTGGTTGTTCTTGCAGAAGATCCGAGTTTGAATCCCAGCACCCACATGGCAGCTAACAACCATCCATAACCCCAGTTCCAGGGGCTCCAACACCCTCTTCTGTCCTCCGTAGGCATTGCATGACATAGGTGCACTTGCATACATGCACACAATATAGGTATATACATAAAAATAAAACAAAAAAAAACAAAAACAAACATACAAACAAGCAAAATGCAAAGCATACAAGCAAAGTTCTATCTACTTAAAATGGCCCAAGTCAGAGCTGTTGAAGAAGAGGGGAGTCCGTGAATAAATGAGGTGTCTAACTGCACCCCAGCCTGAAGACTTGGCAGACGCTACCAAGAGGCTCCAGGAGCACCACAGGGATGCCCAGCTGCAGAACAGACCAAGCAGAGGCCGCACCTGTCTGTAGGTGTCCTGGTGATGCTCCTCATTCCGAGAGTCATAATACTGCTGGATGAAGCCAAAGTACTCCTCCCGCTTCCGCTGCAGGGTCAGCTTCCGCCTCTCAGTGTTTGCTGGTAGATAGCCCTAAAGACATCATTGCCCGTCAGAGGGGGACAGGCATCAGAGGGGGTGCTTTCACCTCGGCCTAGCAATGGACTGGAAACTGTCAAAGAGACAGCAGGAAGACCACCAGGGGGACAGAGTCGGTGCCTTTTGGTTCAGGCCACCCAGGGCTTGCCCTCTCCTCAGCCAGGGGATGTGTGTGGGCAGAGGCTGCAAGGCTTATTTACTGCTTCGGTCCTGTACTGTTCTCAGAACTTGCACTGCTGCTGAATAGGGAAGGGGATGTCAGTGGGAGGACTGGACCTGAGTCCCAGTCTCCAAGGGCCACATATCTGGGAATCAGAAGCATCTGGCAACTTCTGTGGCACATCCCAGCAGTGGGCCGAGGAACTTGGTAATGATGACACATTCTGTCCAGCGTCTTTTGGTGCCATGGGCTCAGCAAGCTGGAGTCTGACAGAGCAGTCACAAGGCCCAGAACAGCCCTTCCTCGCTGAAACTGCAGGCCAACTTCTGCTCTCATCCCTGGTCTAGATCCCACTCTCCTTACATCTCCTGTCTGATAGGTAAAATAGGCCATGGATGAATCCGGTTGATCAGGAGAAAGCACCAGGACATGGATAAAACTCCATTGGAATAGAGTTTATTAGTAAAGGAACACATGGGATAGATTCCCTTCTGGGCAGGGAAAATGTCTGCCCCAGGTTTGTGAGCTGGGGTCTTTTTATACAGGGCGACTTCTGCTTCCTGCAGAAGCCTGCTGTGTTGGCCAAACAGTGGAGAAAAGTCTGCTTCTCTTGACTTAAAAGACCAGGGTGCTTATCAACTCGGTTCCCTTTTCTCAGGGGCTCGTGAGGTCCCTGAGGCCCTGTTGGTGAGGGGGCAGGGCTATCTGAACCTTAACACTGTCCCCTTTTGGCTCACATCACTCTGAACAGCATTCAAACTTACTAGACATGGCAAAGGCACGAATTACATGGCTGTAAGACAAAGGATGAGGGGCAGTGAAGAAGAGACCTTTCTTCTCAAATGTGTTTATGCAGTGCATTCCACAGGCTGGGCCTGGAGAGCAAGCAGGTTTGGGGCTGTTTCACTGGGGTTTTCACACAGCACCTGGCACTGTGGTAGCCAGCAGGCCCTTGAAAATCCTCACTAGATGAACAGCTTTTACAGGCGATGGCTGGCACGATGCTTAGAGCCTGGTGAGAGGCTTCTGAGAGGCCCCTGTACCGACCCTTCGTGGCTGGGAAGTGGGTTTCAAAACATTCACAGGAAGTGTCCATGCTTGCTTAAAGCCAGTGCTGGGAACCCCCCATGTTGCCATACTCCTCCCCTACACTGTTAAGAGAGTGACTCTGACCAGAGAAGCGGGCTCCTGGTCTTCTCCACGGTGGGTACAGGAATACACCCATCTACAAGTGTGGGAATAGACTCTCAAGGATGTTTGTGTCTCTTTGGGCACAGGTACAGCTGCGCCAGCCATTGGGACTAGAGAAGTCTATGGCATAGGACCAACATGCCCAGACCAACCTCAGAAGACTGAGAGGGCTGTATGAGGCCCACATGTCTCTACACAGTGGGCAGAACTCACCGACAGGAGTCTCCAGGTTACTGGTCGAACCTCCCTGGGAACCCCTGGCCAGCTACACTTCCTCAGCTCATCTGCAAACAGAAAACAGCCTGGTTGGATTAGCTTCTCCCACATGGCCCAAAACAAACCTCAGCCAGATGCCTCCTACTACCATTACCACCACCACCACCACCACCACCATCTGCTGCCATGGACAAGCACAGGAAAAGCCTCAAACCACAGCCCCAAGCAGCAGGCCGCAAGGGCACGTACAGCAGCCACCAGCTTAGAGACAAAAGGGAGAAAGAGGCTGTGGGCGGAGACCCATGTGAGGACTTCTGTGAGAACCCCTGAGTCAGCAGGCACCAGAGCTGGAAGAGTAGTCCAGGCTCCAGACACCAGCCCCACCTACTCTGTAACAGCAGGCATCTATCTGCCTTAATACCTGTGTGTCACTGCAATGGTGTCAGACCGGGAGATGCTAGAAAGTAAAAGAAGGAAGAATAAAGAGCAATGGCTTCCAGTCTGAGAATCCCAGTCACCAGGGGCTCCTATCTTCCTGGGCCCTGAGGAACTCACCTAAGTCAGTGTTGTGGCTGGAGAGAAGCTGACGGAATTTTTCCAGGCGGGTTTTCTCCCGGACTGTCATTGGAGGTGCTCCAGAAGCATTCTGGTCCGAGATGCGGGCGACAAGGGGGATGATGGGCCGGAGAGGGAGTGACTGCTGTTTGTGGAGTGGATTCCTCAGGCACGTGTCACCTGAGGCAATTTGAGAAAGAGGGAGGACTGTGTGTGAAGAGCTGGGCCCGTGGTGCTGCCTGAGACTCCAGGCCAGCTCCGCTACCACCCAGAGCAAGGACCAGCCAACTCCAGAGGCTGCAGCAACTCTGACAATGTGCGTGGCCATGCCAAGGAAAATGGACTGCTTTCTACCCCAACCTGGATCTCTCCTCAGTGCCTCAAAGTGGGTATGGCAGTCACACAGCCTACGGCAGCGCTCTCCGTCCCTCCCTGCACCCAGGGCACGTGAGATGTGAGTGAGCACACTGCTGCCCTCCACAGCCAGGCCCTAGTTGCCCCAGGACCAACAGCACGGGCACAGCTCTGGTCTGTACTTGGCCCATAGGAGCCCTGTCTGCAGGCGGTCCCACCCTGAGTCTCCAAAAGTCTTCTGTGCCCAATTCCCACCCAAATGAAGCGGCTTTGAATTCTGCCGTGTTGTGACTGAAGCAACAGATGATCTAAATCCACTGCAGGTGACAGGGATACAGTGTGAGACAGATGCTCATCCAGTGCTGGCTATGGATAAGGCATCGTGCTGGCCATTTTGGCATGATCTCTCATGCAATCCTTTGCAACATCAGGTCAGAATTTATAACTACATTACAGCCTGGGGAGGTTAAATAACTTGGGGAGTGGAGATGACACCTTAGCCATGTCTGACTCCACAAAAAAACCTCTTTTCAATGACTGTCCTCTCCTAACTGCCTCATATTCTTAACTTATCTGGGCCTTAAAAAGTAGGAGTCACAGCACACATTAAACAGTGACAATGAATCAACCAACACCACCAGGAAGTTTACAGCAACACCTGCCACACGGCACTTGGCCAGGACGCTTACTGTGACCACTGGGGCCTAGAAAATGCAGACCACACGCAGCAAAGCTAAGACAGCTGGGCATCTCCAACATCAGCTGTTTACAGACAGATGCACAGAGGGAACCGCCACAGGGGAATATGCGGGGAGCCGGCTCCATGGGCAGCTTGCAGGATCATGGCAAGGGCCTTCCTGTCTCTGGAAGCCACCAACACAGCTTTAGTCACCTGCTCAATCAACACCAAATGCCTGTCTGGGACTGGCACTGTGGGTTCAAGCCGGGACCACTCAGTGCAGGCAAACGACCATGGGATGACTGTTAGGACTCGACAGCTGAACTGCACAGCCTCCTGCGTTGTCTAAATCTGTGAGAGGAGTTCTCTTAGACCACGAGTCAGGACACAGTCTGGGGCACTTACAATCTTCTCCGTCTGTATCCATGACCAGAGATACTTTAATATAACTAGGATGAAGGCTCATCCCTGACCAGCCCAGAGGAACTGACTTCCACAAAACCCTTCAGGGCAACATTAAGCACAGCAATGAACACTTAAATATGCACACAGAAAGTCCCTGGGCTTGCAAAATCACCATCACCCCCCACCATCACTGAGGCCAATCTCCTGAGAGGAGACAGAGCAAGCCGCTTCGCCCAGCACACAGCCTGGGTGGCCATAAGGAGACTGGCCTGGTCCTTTAGAACATGCTCTGCTCCACAGAACCAAGAAAAGACCACTTGAGGCCAATGGCTATTCCCCGGTGCCAACCATTTGTGATTCAGCCCTGACACCTTTATATACATCTAGTCAGGGTTTGTAAACCTGACCAGACTCAGAGCAAAGTGAAGCAACCAAACCATAAAAGTTGTGGATCCAGCCCAGGAAAGGAGGAAGAGGCAATGCTTGGGTGCTGGAAAGAGAAGATCCAGTGGGAGGGCAGGGACTAGCCTGTGACCTACTGATGATGTCATACCTCAGGTTTGAGCCTGTTCTTTGTAGCCTCCCACAGAAGACCTGAGTGAGGCCCTGACGAGCTGCACTCTACTGAAAGGCCAAGGTCATGGAGGGCCAGATGGACTTACTGGAGTTTCTGGACAGCTGGGCATCACTGCTGGACTTGATGACCTTGTAGTTGGCGGGGACATCTGATGTGGTAGACTGGGAACGTTCGGGTTTTACCCTCAGCTTGCTGTGGTTTTCCAGGACCTGGGCTGCAGTTGCCAAAGCAACTTTTGAGTTCAGAGTTTGGAAAGAAGGTGAGGAAAAGTCCTCTTCCTCATCATCACCAATGTCCCAAGCGTCACTGGTATTCCGGGCAAACTCGTGAAAACTGGAGGCCTTCTTGCTCTTTAGAGGGACTGAGTTGACTTTGGACCGTTCTTTGATGAAGCTTCGAGAAAGAAGATGGCATTACCAAGCAGCAGTGTGGCACATGTGGCCAAGATACTGATTCTATAACAAACTACCCCAGCACACACACTGCATACCGTCTTCAAACAAAGCCCCCAAGGGCTCCCTGCTCATGTGGGTGCATCCTATACAGACAGAACCAAGGTCACCAGGTCTCCAAGAGGAGACGTGAGGGAGCCATATCCAGGCCAAGGTATAAAAGAACAGGTGGCTGTTCCACGGCCCCTCCTGGTCATGGTGACCAGCAAGTGGTAGGACCTCCCTCTGCCTGGGTCACTGAGTGACTATGTGGAGCACAGCCTCCACCCTCACCCCACCCCATTCTGGACACACACACGAGCCAGAAATAAACCTTGATTGTACAATCCACTGGGTTTCAGAGACAATTTGCTAGGCCTACAGGACATACGCAGGCAGCAGAGGAGGAACCAGCTTCAGGCTGTCCACATACAGTGAGTCTCAAAATGAAAACCTCCCTTTTTTCACCCTTTTAACATCTCTGCCAGCCTAGAGGGCAAAGTCTAAGCTTGGTGCTACTCTGAGGAGAAGGGGAGGGGGGGGGAGAGAGAGAGACAGAGACAGAGACAGAGAGAGAAAGAGACAGAGACAGAGACAGACAGACAGACAGACAGACTGACTGACTTTTAGATCAGCATATTTGCAAGTCCCAAGATCTGGTTTAGAATTTAATGATTGTTTTAGTTTTTACTGTATTTGTTTATTTATTTATTTGAATTTTGGAAATAAGGTCTCAAATAGCTCAGCTACAGCTGTGACCGGAAAGTGAGGCCTGCCAGACTTCAGGTTCAGTTCAGAAAACAATCCATTTAGGATCCTGTCACACCATCAAGTGGCTGATGGGGCTGCTCAGCAATAATACCAGTTTTATTTGAGCTATAAAAATGATTGCAGGCAACATTACCACTAATGGTAATAATTTAGCAGACTGGAATCTGTATATACAGACAGAAGATGACTTAGTGTGCTTGTGTGGTTCAAAAAATTAAAGACCTGATGCAGAGGATTAACCTCGAAGTAATAATGATGGTCTGGAGTCGAGCAGAGAAAGCCATAAAACCATCTCGACAAAGGTACTAGAACAAGGGCAATAAATGTTTTACAGCAACACTCTGGAATTGTAAAACAGTCTGTGCTCAGGGTGCCATGTTGGGGACTACTAACCAAGCCAGCACATCTGTGAGAAAGGGAAGCCACTAATCAGAGCCAATTTGGTTCCTCCTGATTTGCAAAGCCAAGTGATGTCTACTGACAGACTGACCCAACTCTAACCAGAGTCAGGGAAAGGATCTAAGACTTTACCTTATAGACACTAAGAAGAAAGAGGCTGTGGCTCTGGGCTTGGTGGTGCACACCTTTAATCCCAGCGCTCAGGAGATCTCTGTAAGACTTAGGTCAGCCTGGTCTACACAGTGAGTTCTGGGCCAGCTGGGACTACAGGGAGACCCCGTCTCAAGTATCCAAACATAAAATGGGGTATACTGCCTAAAGATGAGTACACAGGTAGATTTCTATGCTAACCACATGGCTGTCTGTAAGAGCAAGTATAGGACAGTGGCTCTTTTAACAGTCATCCTGACTGTTAAAGCTTGTGACTATAAACAAGGGAATATTCAACCGAGATGCTTTAAGTGGCAAAGGCCACTGGGTGGCTGTTTCTACAGTCTCTACCTTTTGCCTCAGGGTTACAGTTAGCTGTCACAGCTCCCAATGTCTGACCCCACCATCACCTCCAAAAGCTGTGAGTGGGTGTTTGGCTACAAAAGAAGTTTCCTTCCTTCGAAGACTTTATTCTCTCCTCAAAAAGAACTTCCAGGGCTGGCACCAACTCAGCAGTTAAGGGCACTGGCTGTTTTTGCAGAAAACCCGGGTTCAAACTCTAGCACCCAAATGACAACTGACAACCATCCATAACTCCAGTTCCAGAGGATCCAGCAGCCTCTTCTGTCCTCTGCAGGCATAGCACGACACAGGTGCACTTACATGCAGGCAATACATGCATAGACATAAAATAAAAATAATAAATAAAAATTCTTTTTAAAAAAAGAACTTCATGCCAGGCATAGTGGTGCACGCCTTTAGTCCTAGCACTCTGGAGGCAGAGGAAGGTGGATCTCTCTGAGTTCAAGGCCAGCTGCGGCTACAGGGAGACCCTGTCTCAAAAAAAAGAAAAAAAGAAAAAATGTAAAAAAGAACTGGGGCTGGAGAGATGGCTCAGCAGCTAAGAGCATGAACTGTTCCTCCAGAGGACCCAAGTTCAATCCCTAGCACCCCCATAACCACTTATAATTCCAGCTCCATTGTATTTGAAGCCTCTGGCCTCCACAGCCATCTGCACTCATGTGCACATACCAATATACATGCACACATGCATACACATAACTTAAAATTTTTTTTAAATGAGTTTCTATGGAGCTGGAGAAATGGCTCAGTGGTTAAGAGTGTTTAACTGCTTTTGCACAGGGCACAAGTTTGGTTCCCAGTACCCGTGACTGACAGCTCACAACCAACTATAACTCCAGCTCCAGGGGATGTGACAAGCTCTTCTGGCTTCCATGGGCACCTATTTGCATGCCCTCGAGCAAGCACACACCTAAAAATCAAATAAAAATCGCCCAGCATGGTGGCGCATACCTTTAATCCCAGCACTTGGGAGGCAGAGGCAGGCAGATCTCTGTGAGACGGAGGTCAGCCTGGTCTACATAGCAAGTTCTAGACCACCTGGGGCTACAGGGAGACCCTGTCTCAAAATGACCACAAAGCAGGGCTAGAGATATGGCTCAGAGGTTAAGAGCACTGGCTGGTCTTCCAGAGGACCCAGGTTCGATTCCCAGCACCCACATGGAAGCTAACAACTGTCCTTAGTAACTCCAGTTCCAGGGGATCCAACACCTTCTCCTGAAGGTGGGCACTGTATAACACCGGTGCACTTACACACATGTATATATACTCATATACATAAAATAAAAATAATAAATAAAATATTTTAAATAAAAAGAAAAAAAGACCACAAAATAAATAAATAAATAATTTTTTTAAATCCTTTTTTTTTAAGTTTCCAAGGGCTGGAGAGATGGCTCAGCGGCTAAGCTCTGGCTGCTCTTGCAGTAGACTGGGGCTTGGTTCCTAGCACCCACATGGCAGCTAACAACTGTATGTAACTCCAGTTCCAAAGGATTCGAGACCCCTTTTTCTGGCCTCCTCAGATATCAGGCCCTCATTCTGTGCACTTACATACATCCAGGCAAAACACTCATACACACAAAATAAAAATACATAAAAAAAAAAAATTTGTTTAGAAGTTCCCATAAACGCTCCCTCAGGAGACAAGCTCCCCTTGCACCAGTGGCTGGGGTTACAAAGGACTACAATGCATATCTTAAATGCTAATACCTTCCCTAAGAGCATGGCCACTTACTCGATATCTGATAAAATAGGGCTCTTGTGCAAGACGTGGGAGTAGGAAAGCAAGACAATCAGGCAGGCTAGACACTGCCCACCACACAGGCCAGCACACCAGAGCTCACAACACAGAATCTACTCTGCATGACGATAATGCCACACAAATGTCACAGAAAACATGCTCCTCTTTTTTCTTTAATATTTTTTATTTATTATTTTTATTTTATGTGTATGCATGTATCACCTGCATGTAGGTAAGTGCACTTGTGTCATGCAATGCCAGGGGAGGACAGAAGAGACCGTACAATCCCCTGGAATTGGAGTTACGGACAGCTGTTAGCTGCCATTTGGGTGCTGGGATTCGAACCCAGGTCTTCTGAAAGAACAACCAGTGTTCTTAACTGTTGAGCCCATTGCTCCAGCCCCAAAACATGTTCCCCTTAAGAGCTAAAAGGGGGCTGGGAGGTAGTTGGGTGGTTGAGTGCTAGCCTGGCACATGCAGGAGCAGAGGATGGGAGGGAGGGAAGGGAAGGAGGAAGGGAAGCTAAAAGCCTAGCATATAGGTGATGTGTGCCTATAATCTCACCTTTTGGAAGATTGAGGCAGGAGAAAGGAGAATTTAGAATCAACCTGGACTACACAGCAAGACCCTGTCTCAAAAAAAAAATCTCAAAAAACTAAAAATTCCACTCCTTTCAGGCTAGAGAGATGGCTCAGTGGTTAAGAGCACTGACAGTTCTTGCAGAGGACCCAGGTTTGATTCCCAGCACCCACATGGCGGCTACGAAACATGCTTAACTCCAGTTCCAGGGGAATCCAACGGCCCTCTTCTGACCTCCACAGCATTGCACAACACTGGTGCACTCACATACATGAAGGCAATATACTCATACACATGAAAAAATAATAAAATATTTAAAAAACAACTTTTTAAGTCCCTTCATCCTGTGACTGTTTCTCAGGGTCTGCTACCTGGGTCTCAAAAACCATCCCTGAGCCAAACATGGTGGCCAAGCCTTTGATCCCAGCACTCAGGAGGCAGAGGCAGGTAGATCTCTGTGAGATCGAGGCCAGTCTCATCTACATAGTGAGTTCCAGGCCAGTCGGGGCTACAGGGACCCTGTCTCACATGGTGTGAGGGTGAGGCTGACCCATGTTCAGAAGCACTGAGCCCCTAAGACCAAAGCATCTGCCAGAACATGGGGAGAGGCCATCAATTACCTGGTGTCAAGGACAACATTTAATCAAAACCACCTTGTGAGGGGATGAGGAGATAGCTCTGTGGGCAAGAGCCTTGCTGTGCAAGTATGGGGACCTGACTTCAGATCTCCGGTGCTTACGTAAAGCCAGGTGCACTGTAACCCAGTGCTGGGGGTGTGGAAACAAGAAGATCTCTGGGGCTTGCTGTCTGCCGGTCTAGTTGAAAACCAGAGAACTCCAGGTTCAGTGAGAGACCCTGTCTCAAAGGCTAAGTCAGAAAGTGACACAGCAGCACACCTCCTCTGACCTCCATGCATGCACATGGGCACACGCACTTGCACACACATGTACACACACATGCACATACATGCAAAAGGATCTTTTGCAAAGAACAGAGAATCCAGCAGCAAATTCTATGTGTCTTAGCCACCAGGGTAGGAAAACAAAATCGCCTGTGCAAATTAATTTCCTGTTACTAACAGACCCCTTGGACATAGGGGATTGCTTAGCTCCTGGTCCAAAGAGGCCAGAGGAGAAGGTAGAAAAGGCTAGGTCGGAAACCAGCAAATGACTGAGACCAACAGGTGGTAGAAGGAGATATGTGAAGGAAACATGGCTTGACTTACTTTTTGGTGAGTCGAGGGTCCAGGGGAGGGTGCTGGGCTCCATACACCGGCTGAATGCTAAAAGACAAAAGAGGAAGAAGCGAGTTCAGTCAGGAGCTAAAAAGGCAGGCTAAGAGCCAGATATGCCACAGAACTGGATGGGAAGTAGGCGACTTACTTCTAAGAACCACCACACCCAAACCATTCCAAAAGGACTGGCCTAGACTTAAAAACAGCCGTTGATCTTGATCATATGTCATGGTCGGTCGTGTGTGTGCCCCCCCCAAAAGAGTGGCTTTAACATTCTTGCATCAGGAGAAGGCAGCATGGGAGCAGTGAGGTGGTTCAGTGGGAAAAGCGCACTGCCAAGCAATCCTGATAATCACCCTGAGTTCAGATCCCAGGAACCCACATTTAAAAACAAAAAAGAGTCAGACATGGCGGTGCAATTGTAATCCCTGCACTCTTACAGTGAGATGGAAGGAAGAGATAAGAGAATTGCCTGGAAGGTCACAGGCCACCCATACACACACACACACAAAGTAAAGTGGCATGGAAAGATAGTAAGCTTTCGAGTCAGCAAGAGCAGAGTTCCAGTGCCAGTTCCACTATCCAACATGCCAGTGAGTTTAGCGGGGTTACTTACAGGATGACTGACTCCAAGGCAGCAGCACTCCTGAAAAGCCCACCCAGCATGGGCGACGACTCAGGAGCGCTGCCACCCCGGAGCTCCCTGAACAACTTGCAAGCACTGAAGACAACTCCCTTTTTCCAACAACTGCTTACTGCTTTGAGAACCCTGGGCCCTGGGAACCCTGCAGCCAACTTATTACCTTCTTCAGCCTTGAAATTTTGTTGTTGGTTTCAATATTTTTTTTTAATGTGTATGAGCGTATTGCCTGCATGTATGTAAGTGCATCCATGTTGTGCAATGCCTGCAGAGGTCAGAAGACGGTGTTGAGTCCCCAGGAACTGGAGTTACAGATGGTTGTTAGCTGCCATGCGGGTGCTAGGAACTGAACCCAGGTCTCCTGCAAGAGCAGCCAGTACTCTTAACCTCTGAGCCATTTCTCCAGCCCCTAGCCTTCCCGAGTCCTATGAGCCTCCATCTTCCCTCCAGGAGCCAATGTTTCAATTTGGAGGACAGAGCCACATAGCAGCCTCTATGAAATCTATGCATTTAAGAGATTTAAAAATCTCTTCCTAGTAAACTCAAACTCTGCTAAAAACAGCAACTGGCCATATCCAGGTGGAAAGAAATATACCTTAAGACCCAGTATTTTCACCCCCAAATGCATATCTTAAGGGTATTGTACAAACGTGGATCAAGAGGTAAATATAAAACTATTCAAAACACTGTGGTTCTTCTGAACCCCAAACTAGAAATAACTCGAATGTCCCTCTGTAGTGACTAGACAAACAGTGGTATATGGAATACTGTACACCACTGCCAAGGTGAAATGAGTCTGCAAGCAACAGCATGAATGGATTTAGAAATGGTGACAAGACAAAGAATCAGAAAGTTAAACACTGTTGTTCTGCCGCATTTAGATAGACGTCAAACCCAGTTTCTTTTAGGGACAGTGCACAGCAGTAACATTATAAGGAAGGTAAGGAACCATCGACAGAAAAGGAAGTGATTCTCTGTGCAGGAAAAGGAACTGGGGGAGCAAACAAACACGGGCTCTGGGAGCTCACTTCTGTTGACTCTGTCTGTCCATTCTTCATCATGTCATCACCTCACAGATTTGTCCTCTTGCAGAGGACCAGGATTCAGTTCCCAGCACCCACATGGCAGCCAACAACTATTAGAAACTCCAGTTCCAGGGGATCCAAAACCTTCTTCTGGCCTCCATGGGCACTGCACATACTTGGTGTAATTACACATATGCAGGGAAAACTCATACACATAAAACAAAATAAATAATAAATATTTTTAAGTGACCTGAGGTGTAAGAGAGATGGCTCAATGACTAAGAGCACATACTGCTTTTCCAAAGGACCTAAGTTTGATTCCCAGCAACCATGGTGGGTGGCTGGTAAACACCTGCAACTCTAGCTCCAGGGATCTGATGCCCTCTTCTGGCCTCTCTAGGCACTGCACTGCACATGGCCAGACACAGACACACTAATAAAAAATAAAAATAAGTCTTTTTTTAAAAGTGACCTAGGGGCTGGAATGATGGCTCAGCGGTTAAGAGCACTGGCTGTCCTTTCAGAGAACTCAGGTTTGATTCCAAGCACACATATGACAGCTAACAACCATCTGTAACTCCCGTTCCAGGGGATCTGATGCCCTCTTTGGACCTCCATGGGCACTGTACCACATGGGTGCACTTACATACATGAAGGCAATACACTTATACACATAACATAAAAGTAATAAATAAAGAAATAAAAAAGTAACCTAGCTGGGGGTAGTGGTACATGCCTTTAATCCTAGCACTTGGGAGGCAGAAACAGGCAGATCACCACGAGTTCAAGGCCAGCCTGATCTACATAGTGAGTTTCAGGCTAGCTAGGGCTACAGGAGACCCTGCCTCAAAAAAATAAAAATAAAGAATGGTCTGAGGCCAGCCAGATAGCTTGGCAGGCAAAGGTGCTTGCCACACAAGCCTGGCACCCTGAGTTCAATCCCCAGAACTCACATAAAGGTGGAAGGAGAAAACCAACTCCCCAGAGTTGTTCTCGGACCCCCACAATGTGTAGCATGCCCCCCCATCATATACACACACAATAATAATAATTATCAGAGTGACCTAAAGGTCACTTGAGGATGTAGCAGTGAGCTCAAGGCCTAGGCTACACAGCAAAATCCTGTCTTACAGAAGTAAAGGAGGAAAGGAAGGGAGAAGAATTATAAGTATAAAGTTATAAGTACAGGGGCCAACTAGATGGCTCAGAGGGTAAAGGCTTGCCATTAAGCCTGAAGGCCTGAGTTCAAGCCTGGGGACCCTCATGGTAGAAGGAGAAAACCAATTCCTATAAGTTGTCCTCTGACCTTCTCATATGTGTTGTGACATGTACACACCCACACATACACACACACACAAAATAAATAAACGTAATTTTAAAAGAGTTACAAGTATAATCACTAGAATAAATAAAATTCCTAAATTATCAGAATACATACATGTATGGCCCCCAACCAGGCACAGTCCACTCCATGTAAAGGTTTGGGGTTTTTTAGTCTTTTCACAGGTGCACTTACATGCATACAAGCAAAACACTCATATACATAAAAAAAAAATTTAAAAAGGCAAGATTGAAAAGAAACTAAGACCAAATATGTTAATTATTCCAATAAATATAAATGACCTGAGATTTTTTTTTCTTTCTGTCCTTTTGACACAGGGTCTCCCTGTAGCCACAGCTGGCCGAGAAATCGCTATGTAGACCAGGCTGTCTTTGATCTACCTGCCTCTGCCTCCCAAGTGCTGGGATTAAAGGTGAGTATCACCTCAACCAGCCTGAACTGATTTTTAAAAGGAAAAAAGGTCTTCATCAATGGGGAACTAGTTAAATAAATTACAGTGCACCTTAAAGGCACAAGGCAGTTCTATCTCCACTGACATAAACACACACATTAACTGAAAAAGATGGGGTTATGTGTACAGTGACTTCATTTTTTTGTAAAAACACTTAAAATGTGTTCATATGCTTATCTGTGAGGTCGGTGTTTCACAGGGGACATCTGAGACACCAGGAGCAGCACTTTGGAAAAGGAACTTGAAGACTAAAGGCAGGGCCCCTAAGGCCGTGCTCCCTGCAAACCCCGTACCGACTCGAGGTAGTAAGCTTGCACAAGTATCACCTTTGTCAAAAAAGCAATCCTGAGCAGTTGAAGGCCCACAGAGGCTGCTGTGTCAAAGGCCCTTTAGCACACTTGGCAGTGGGTGGCGAGGTCTGAGGGTAGATCCACACATTAGAACTCAACCCAGCACACTGCCAAAGAACTTTGGCTTGCTTCCTCCCTCCCATTTTTATAATTTAATCCTTACCCAATGTTTAGAAAAACAAAACAAGTTTACCAAGTATTTTTGTTTCACATGCCAAAGGCAATGCTGAAAATGCTTTCAAATAGAAATGCCAGCTGTGGGCTGGAGAGACGGCTCAGTGGTTAGAGTTTGCTGGTCCAGCGGAGAACCAGAGCTCAGTGTCCAGCATCACCCATGTTTGGTGACTCAGAGCCTCCTCTAACTCCAGCTCCAGGGGATCTGACACATGCATACACACATGCACAAACAAATAATAACATAACAATTTTTAACAAGCAGAGTTGGTCATTTCCACGCTGACCCCTGTTAGGAGTTGAGAGGGAATCTTTCACGTAGGTCCTGGCTAGGCTCTTTTTAGCTTGAGAATGGACACTCCCTAAGCCTCTCTGGAAGATGATTAAATCACTTGTAAACCCACCATCCCATAAGCTGCTACAGAAACACAAACTCTGGAAAGCAAACTATTTTACTTGAACATGTTCAAAACATCTCCTTAACAGGGAAAAGGACAGAAAAAGTAAGAGAAATCAGAGTGAAGGCAAAGTGTGGCTCATAGACAGAGGGGTAGGGAAGCTTAGACAAAACAAAAATTTAACCACCACCAAAGAAACCCTCAAAGGGGCCACTGATATGCATTATAACTGTCACAAACGCTCTGCGATGCATGCACTTGAACTCTTCAAGTCCAAAACCCTCTTCTTAGTAAAACATTAAATGATAAACTCCTCACCAGGCCAGTTAGGTTAGTTGATTGGATAGAAAAACAAGAGCAGACTCTCAGATCCTCTACAGAAAGAGTCACCACGTGTCAGTAACCCATGCAGAGAAAAGGCAGACCAAATTGTACAGGCTTAAGGCCAGAGGCCATCAATTACCTAGGGAGAGAATCTGACACTCACAGGAGACTATTTTTTAAAGACATCGGCTGATGTGCTGGTTCAGCCACAAAGGCCAAGATGAATGATGGGCCCCATCAGCAGACGCACTGGAGCCCAAACTGAATCTGTTGCCATGTTCTTGAACTAGACTGTGATGTAGCTGAACCTGGGAACACTTTGTATAATAAATCAGTTTATTGAA